CTCAGATAACACATAAAGAAAGCATATTTTTCTTCTTGGTAGGTCTATGATATTTTTTGGCAATGTATCCATACTCAGTAGCAGTCAAATGCAGAAATGTTAGAGGAAAAGTTAATTTAAATAGGTCCTTATACTAAGAACAGCAGGTATAACAGCCTTAGTACTCTAGGGACATCTGTTTTATTTTTTGACCAGTGAGTCTTTTATCCATCATCAGGAAGACTATAGGTAAGTTCACAGCTTGAGGATCACCATTGAGTATAGAAGCAGGGAGATCATTCACAGAAACAACTGGCACTGCTGTACAGTTGCGCCCTACAAAAATCAGTAACCTCAGTAGCAGGGACAAAACCAATTTTGAGTTTTGACATAAGAAAGCAAGTCGAACAATTTATAGAGATCAGGTAAGGTGCAGGTCGTTGCCTAATTGTCGATGTAAATGCTAAAGGAATTGGCGGGGTAGCTTGTAGTCTTGCGTAAATACGGCACGATTGTTGTTATATCCACTAGATGTAGATGGGATATAGCCAGGTCAGCTAGTTTCTTTGCTGCACACAGCGTGGTTCAATGCAATGACTGAAACATTGGTTTGAAAGGGGATATTTTTTAAAAAATAGCATGGAATCCTTAAACCTGTATAAGTAGCACCGATGAAATGACTTAAATTATTGTTGTTAGCAAACCCAAAATATGCATCGAGCATTCATATACACAGGACTAACTATATTGTTGGCCTGCAAGTTCTGATAATCAAAGTGGCCGTGAATTGATGGTAACCTCCGATGGCAAAAAAAGGGGAGAAAAATAGGATTACACTAAATATTTTATCCTTGTACAACATCTGTTAATATCTTCAATTTCGAAATTAACCATCTAGGACTCAGTCTGGTACCCTAATGCTGCAACGAAATAATAGAATCTATGGAATCTTTTCTTCAAAAAAGATAGCATGATGTCATGAAAATAAAGTAGTAAGAACTGCATACAGGGCAACATGGAAACACATGGGAAGGGCATAAATAGACTAAAAAATGAAGCGGAACAGTTATATGGAGGTCGCAGTATGAGTGATGATTTACCTTTTTAGATGCAGATATAATCTATAGCCAGCAACAATCAGCAACATCAACCTGGAAGCATAGGAGCCTGCTGTTGCTGTTGAGATGGGCATAATATAAGGATACATGTTAATTTCATACATGTAGGACACTGCATAACTAAATAGTAGCAAGATTGGGGCGGCACCACAAAGTAAAGGTAAACAAGGTAGCCGGACGCCATATAGCACAGAAAAGCATCGTAAACACATATAACACAATTGTTTGGGAAGTTCCACAGGACATCTTTAGCTTTTGTGTTTCATGCATCTTTGAATTTGGAGCTGTAAATGACTGTAATTTAAAGTACTACGATCGCCTGATGTATAGCTTAAGGGGCCTGGAATATAGATATAAATCCATATTCGAAATGTTGATGAACAAAAAACACATATATTGCTATTGATTATGACAAAGGCAGGAAAGAAATTGAACTGAAAGCCCAGCATGGTTTCTTATAGAAGCAGAAACAATAGAGGGGATGGACAATGGCAAGAGGAATCTGTCCTGTGCCCCAATAGGCTGCTAAGGGATTCAAGAAAATTTTGTGTGCACTGCAAGAACAGAAATTATCATGTAACATACCATGAGAAGGTTTTTATGTTGAACCGTCGGCATGATCTTCAGGTGTAGAAGCGAACTGCAGGCAAAAAAAGCAATAACAAGATAGCAGTCAGCAGATAAGCGAAGCATAAGGGGTGTCATGTGTTTCAGATGAGAGCACTAACCTATATGGACTCTGAATTGTCCCCACAGGGATCGGCGGAGAAGGCACAGTGCCGCAATAGGTATGAAAGGGCAAACCCTAGAATAGGAAACCAATTAATTTACCTAATCCATCTATGCATACACAGTCATCAGGAGGGCAAAACCATATCTAGAAGCTTAGCACCGCGAAACAGAGGACGACGGCGAGGGGACGAAAGCGGCGTGGCTCGGCCCGCCGCACAGCTTAGCACGCACGGCAGCGCGGGCAGCCCGGCGGATGCCCGGTCGGGGGCGCGCAGCAGAGGGATCAGGGGGCGGCACCGGAGGAATCGCCGAGGGAGAGGGCTCGAAGGTATCTGGAGGAAGAGCGCAGAGGGAGGCCGGGAGAGAGAGTCGGGAGGAAGAAGGCGGTGACCACGGAGGAGAAGGGGCGCAGCCGGCGGCTGGCAGCGCGCGCCCACCGCTGCGACCGCGCATGGCAGGGATCCGGCCACGTTGGGGCCCGTGGGCGCGCCGGCAGGATGGACGCGGGTGTTGGCGAGGAAGACGAAGACACAGCTGGGCCTTCGAGCGTTGGGGATCGTCAGCAGGCGCAGCAAGGGCGGAGGTGGAGCGGGCGCAGTGCCGGCACAGGCGATGGGTAAGGGCGGCGCTGGGGGAGGAGGAGGCGGAGCAGCGGCGCGGCGGAGGGAGCGAGGTGCGGGTCGACGGGGATGGGGACGGGGACGGTATTTGTTTTTTTTTTCTACGATACGAGGGAAAGTTTCGTGAACCAGGGAGAAAAGATGGAAGCAAACGACAAAGAGCTAGGGTAACAGTATAGCAGTAGCTAACTGCCATACATTTTTAAGACTATCTTCAACAACCTAGACCCAAACACAAGAACCATTCTAAGAACTTGGGTCACGCACAGTCATTGGCTCACCCATCCAAAATTTCATTTCTCCAACAGCGAACCCAAAATATCTAATGTCCTCCTCTCTTTCTCTCTCCGTCTCGACTCTTCCGGTGTTCCCTTCCCTCCTCTCTCTCGTCTGGCTCGTTGTCCCGATCGCCGCGGCTCCTCGTTTTCTCATGCAGCGCCTCCCCCCCTTCAAGACGCGCCCTGCCAGCAGCACCTCCCCCGCTCTGCTCGTCCGGCCTAGATCTACTCTTTCCTTCCTCTCTCCTCTCCTCCCCCACAGTGGCGGCGGCACGCGGCACGGTGCCCCCGATCTTGACGCGCGTGGGCAAGCTCGCCCCCGTCAGGCGCAGCAGCGCAGCGCCGGGCGGTGGTGTGGCAGGCAGGTGTGACTGCAGTCTTGGCAGCGCAGGCGAAACACGCCCACAGTGCAGTGCAACGCGGCGACGCAGGTGGGCCCCAGGGGCGCCCCAAGCATGCGGGGGCTCCGGCACGAGCAGACATAGGTGAAGGTGGCCTCTCTCCCTTGCTCCTCTCTTTCCCTCGCCGGTGCCGGGGTCCAGCGTCGATCTGTGCTTGTTGGCCTTCTTTGCTGGGGTCAATCCGAGGCCTCCGTGGTCGGATCTGGTCGTTCCCCCACTAAGTCAATGTAGAGCACCAAGCATGAAGCTTTGAGGGCCTCCATGGTCGGATCCAGTGCCTCCATGGCCGGATCCACGCCGGTTGCTCCTCGCCACCTCCTACGGGCCCAGCATGTCGACGACGCAAGGATTTGGGTCGAGGAGAGAGACGACGAAAAAAGGACGCATATCTGGGTTCTCTCTCTCCTCCTACCAAAAATAGGTGTTTCCTTTGCCTATTCTGTTGGATGTCGGTTTTCCACTGTGTAGGACCCAAAATGGGTTTGGGTAGTGGTATGCATGGCTCGTTGGAGACAGTCTTATAGATTGATGATCTTTATATATTTTATATAGATGCTTGGTTTCGCTTTTGAAAAGAGATTCGGCTGCCAAAAAGTAGAAGGAAGCCAATCAAACGGGCAGAATCAGAATTAGAGGTAGCTTTTCGAGAAGCGGCTGCTTTCATGGCCCCATTTGGAACCTTGAAATTAAATTTATTTTAATAATTATAATTTAGATATATATTAATTAAGCTAATATGATTGTATATGGATTATATTTTGTATATTACTGTTGGCTATACGAGAGATACTTACGTGTTGCATTTCTATCGTAAGGGTGCGAGTTAAGAGCGTGTTATAAGTTGCAAAGTAGAAGCATAGAATTGTGATCTATAGTATCAATTTCCATCTCCCACCCTATGAATTTGAGATAGACTTATATGTGAGCTTTGAAAAGTGGTGGAATGTCAAATTCCAAGCCAAATAGAGCTACTTTATTAAGTAGATTTCAATTCCTCAAAATGAAAGGATCCAAACAGCCTCTAATGGAATTTTTGCAGCACCTGGACCTGCTTTTGGCTTTCAGCTTTCTGCTTTTCTAAATGGGTAGAAGTAAAGAGATGTTTTATAGTTGTTTTACTAAGAGAGATAAAGAGAGAGGGTAAGTTTTGTAGTTATTTTAACCAAAAATAGCAGCTTTTTCACAATACATGCTCTCCTGTCCCAAAATAAGTATCGCTATGATATTCGAGCTGGTCATTTTTTTTAAAAGTTTGACTAGATTTATAATAAAATATTACTAATATCTGTATCTCCAAATAAGTTTGTTATAAAAACGATCAATCTAATAATACTAATTATGTACTATAGATATTAATATTTTCTTATATATATTTACTCAAAGTTAAAAGAGTTTGACTCCTTAGGAGATATTTATTTTGGGATGGAGGAGCAACACCAATTTTTCATAGTTTTTCACATCTCACGGCTGAATCAAATAGACTCGTATTGAGCTCTCGAGGAATCACTGCCAACTGAAAGCATGGACTGATAGCGATAGATAGTATCATTACCGACACATGAACTATCGATTATTACTCTCTAGCGATATAGCCACTGAATCGGTAGACGTTAGTTGTGCTACCACCACTACAGCCGGTTTGGTGGCCAACCGGTAATGATTTGCCAGGAACGTACAGTTCTGTAGGAGTGGATGTTCCTTCATTTCTGCTAATGTGTCGAAATAACGACATGTCGACATGTTTATTCAACACTCATGTTTAATGCTACATGGAATTACATCATTAACAAAAGCGGATTCGATATTCTGAAGTTATTAATGCTAATCCCATGTTCCAATGCGTAGTTTTCCATTGCCACGTTCCAGACATATTCAGTTCCCGCGCATCACGGGGCAACCTGATCCTGAAGCTGGCGCGCCATCAGCGGCAGGGGCGCTCAAGAAGCTGGCGAGGAAGTTGCCGCGCTCGTAGAAGTACTCTGACTTCTCCACCTTCATTTCCTCGTCAACCTACCATCACATTCACAATGTCGCATAAAGATTCAGTTCGTGATCTGTCTGAACTCTCAGAAAATGCAGCAGCGAATGCGAAGCCAAATTGCAAATTGCAAATTGCAAATGCAGGGAGGGAAGCAGCGATGCTGCCTGTAAAAACTGGCATACATGGAAGATGCAGACGCCGATGAACTCGACACGCTGGCCGTGTGGCGGGTGTCCCTTGAAGGGCCCCTCCATGTACCCCCAGTGGCGGAACTTGAAGGCGATCTTGGGCGGGCCGCTGTAGACGTCGAGCACCTCGATGGCGAACCCCCTCGGGAAGGCCGTCTTGAAGATGTCCATGGCGGACTCCGGACTCTCGCTGTCCGGGTCGTAGATGCGGTGCTCCGGGGGCAGCGTGGTGCGCAGGAAATTGTTGTAGCCGCCGATGGCCATCACCTCGGCCCGGGTCAGAACACTCAACCCTGCCGGCATGTGCATTGGCAGCGCATGTCACGGTGTCAGTGGAGGGAGATTCAGATGGGAAGGGAAGGACGAGTGTTGTCGCTCGATCACTCACCGTTGGTGCTGGTGCTGTACTTCTCCGAGTTGACGGTCTTCTGGTCCTCGGGGCGCACCTTGTGCACCAGCTCCATCTCCCAGCTCTTGAGCAGCCGCTGCACCTTCTCCTCCAGCGAGCCCTCGGGCCACACCTGAGTCCTCTCCTCCTCGAAGAGCTTGTTCACCATGTCGTAGTTGGGCGGGGCGCCATACCTCCACACGGTGTTCTTCTCGCTCTCACCGTGGATGAAGGACCGGTACTTGTCTTCTCCCACTTCGGCGGCCGCCATTGCTGCTGATGGCAGGCTTACCGCCTCTTGCGTCTTGCGTCGGCAGGTAAGGGACACCGGCCTTGCTAGTATTTGGGTCCGATGGAGGTAAGGGACACTCCTTTGCCCTATTTATATTGTGAGATGAGCCGATGGTAGGAGAAAAATGTGGAAGTTGTTGCCAAAAGGAAAAATATATATCCTATATTGGATGAGAATGTCTCTCGCGGTTCGTTGCCCTATATATATATTGTGAGATGAGAATGAGATGACGATGCGTAGGAGAAAAAAAATGTAATATTATCTCGTGGTGGAAGTCGTTGCCATCCGAAAGGAAAAATATATATCCTATATTGTGAGATGAGAATAAGATGGCGATGCTTAAGAGAAAAAAATGTAATATTATCTCGTGGTGGAAGTCGTTGTCATACGAAAGGAAAAATATATATCTTGAATGAATGAAAAATGAAAATCTGAAGTCACGAGGAGGCTCAGCTTGTCCCTGTCGCCAAGTCGCAGCGAGCTACCTCTCGTTGTCTGCTTGTTCGTAGTAGCTCTGGCCAAGACGTGGGGAAATGCTGCGTAATTTCCATGGCGGCTATTCAAGCAAGACGCGCGCTCCCTATTTCTATTCTATTTCACTTTTCGCTTGGCTGATAAACCATAGCTGAAATTACTATGGACTGATTTGTTGTGAAAAAAAATACTATTCGTTAGCCGGAAAAGTAAGCTAAGCGAACGATGTATGTATCTGCGGTCAAAGATGATGTACCAGCAGTGGAGTGGTTTTCGGTAGTGTGCGGGCACGAGGATGCTACGCAGGCCCAATCAGGCCTGGGAGCAGTTAGGTGAGGCATGTCTGTGTGTGTGAGGTCATCACTGACGGCATGAACTGCGATAAATAAAATAGCAGCCCTCGTGCGCGGATGCTGTGCAGGCGGCCGTGCCACCTGCCACGCTCGTCTCACGGGCCAGGCCGGCCTGAGCAACCACGAGGCTGGGCGGTGTGTTGGGCTGCCGGCCGGAACGAACCCAGTTTTCCCTGCACCCACCCCCGTGCGCGCACAGTTCCCTACCTGGACGCCGCCGTTGGAGTGGGAGTCTCGCGCTCGCTCGTGCCTCCAGCTGTGGGCCGCGTTCGCTCCAGCGGATGGACCATGCTCATGCAGACGTGGGCCGCTCGCTCCAAAGCGTGGTCAGCGTGCTGCTTCCGTTCGACCTGGTCGAATCGGAAGATTTGTGGCCCTACAGACCTCGCGGTCTCACCCGTCATTAGCAGAAAGGACCTGTTTGGATCGACGCCTCCCATGGACCAGACATCCATCTCGTCCCCGACTGAGAACGCTGCCTACGCCAGGCGGCTCAACGGGAGGAGCAAACCAAACACGCCCAAAGTGTCATGGTACCAAACTACCATGCTATACCAGCGCACTCAGAATTTTAGGTATTTTGTTTTTTAAAGAGTTCCACATTTAGTTTAGAGATCACTAAAAAACAATAATAGACCCAAAAAAAAACATCAAAAGTTGTTATGACATATACAGTATTTAGATACAAGCCCTACTAGAGCCAAGAGAAAATTTGGTCATGGCCAAATCACGGCATGACCAAATTTTTGTCATGTTAGATGTGTTTGGATGGTGGCCGTGTTAAAACATGGCCATCGTTGAAAAAAATTGTTGTTTGTTTGGTAACCATGCTAGTTTTTGTCATACCTGAGTATGACAAGTAGGGTCCAGATAACTTTTTTTTTCATCAAATCATAGGCATGTGAGATCATAATTTGTAAACAAATTAAAACCATAAGGAACATTATGGTGACAACATATTATAAACCGGGTATGTTGCAAGTTTAAGAAACCTCAAATACCGAATCAGTGCCATGTCAACTCAGAATTTGGCATGCATGTCTGCCAAAGTGGGGCAGCCAATTTGCTGGCCATTCTATGGGCCGACAGGGGCTATTTGTTGTAGCAAACATCGGCCAAATTTTCTGGGGCCAGCTAATTATGGGCCCGGATCCAAACAGTAGCCAAGTTTTCTGGGTTTGCTGAAGTTTGGCTTCGCTGTCATTTGCCTAAAATCAGAAACGCCCAAGATAACATGCGGTGGCGCCAATGTCCATTAATTGGTGGCAAGGCCTGCCTACACGGACGTCATGTGGCATGACTTCATACAGACCTTGGTGTCTAGGGGCGTGGCACCGAGCTTAGTGCTAAATAGTCTGGCGCCGAGGCCTAACTACTGCAGAGCTCTAGCCATGGCTGCATGAACCTAGTCTCCAGCGGTCAGACGACTTAGCACCTGTTCGTTTGGTCATTTCGTGACTTATAAGCCAGCTAATGCTATTTTCAGCCTGTTCGGGAGGCCGTATCGTATCGTGGATTATTTACTGCTGGCTGGTTTGGTGTGAGAGAAAAACACCGTTTCCGGCTGGAAATTTACGATCGTTTACGAGCAAACGAACAGGCTGTTTGTTGTGAGAGAAAAACACTGTATCATGACTGATAAGCATGACTGATACGATCAAGCAAGTAGGGTGTAACTTTACGAGGTCTTAGCTGAGAAGACATGAACAACATAGATCCATATAAGCAATTATTTCTATAATGCAGGCTCCACTATCCTATTTACCTCTTGGCCCCACCACTATATCTCTCTCCAATGGTCGTTTTCAAAGAATTGCATTTTTAGTCTATCAGCTAGCTAGTGTCATCCATCCTCCATCTCAATTCTAGTGGAAGCTGCCGCTTTTTTAATGAGACTTTTTGGGCATGATCGTATCAACCATGCTTATCAGCCATGATACAGTGTTTTTCTCTCACAACAAAACAACATCAGCCAGCTTATAAACCACAGAAACGATCAAGCGAACAGGATGTTAATTATTTGCTGCTTCTGCTACCTTTTAAGGCATCAATGCTCCCAAATGCATAGCTTCTTGTGGGTTTATTTAAGATGGACATGGACACTTCAGTAGGCTTCTAGAGGAATAGGGGAGAGGGCTGCTTCTCGTAGCTTATTTCTCTAGCCCGCGCCTCTCTCCGCCCGAGCGTCATCCGAAGCTCCCAAGCGTCGCCCGCAGCTGGTCCTAAGGCTGCCCCGCTTCTTTGCCGAAGAAGCATCATGTTAGGTTTTGTCCCACATCAAAATTTATGGTGGAGGAGCACAATATATAAGACGGAGGCAACTCTCACATATCAAACTAGTCTTTTGGGTTGAGTTAGACTCAGCCCTTGGCTTGTTGTGGGATCCTGTGGACTTGGACCTAGGGGGCGCCAACTCATGGTCATAGCGAGCTAAGCTGGATTCACTGAGCACTCTAACAAGTGGTACGTATCAGAGCCTATGGTTAAAAAACCTGGAAATCAAGAGTCACATGGTGATGGGGGAGCCCGTGCATATCTTGGAGGTTGTATGTGACATGGAGCGTTAGACTCATGTTATATTACTTACCAAAAACAAAACATGACTTTCAATCCCCCTTTTTGACAAAATTGAAATCCCCAAGCTAACTCTATACACACGTATATTTTAAGCTTGGATTTGGAATAATTTTGCACCGTTTATCCATAGCACGAAGATAATGATATATGCTGGATAAACAAATTCAACTTGGTAGTGATAACTCCCCATGTATATGTGCTATAAGATGGTTTGGGTTCACAAATTTCACTACTAAGTGGTACTAAGATTCATAGGATGAGAATTGTATCTTTCTAGCGCATAATAAATTATGAACCATCCTTAGCACCAGCACTTGCTAGGGCACGACTAGAAAGCATATTAGAGCATAAAACATTATTAGAAGGTTGAACTCGATTGTTGTATTTCTTTCAATATTTTGAATAATCTTCAAAGAGGTAGCTATTTCCTTAAGAATTGTTACTATTGTTTAGTAAAGAATTAATATGCTGTTCTCGTTACATAATTATTTTAGTTGTTGGAGCCGTTTAGCGTGAAACAAGGATTTTGTCAATGTCAATATTTGCGATTTTTCCATTTCTCTCACTATTTTTTTATAGCCTCCTCCTTCACAAACTACACTAGTCAGTATTATTAGATATTTGGCAAATATTTTTATGAATACTTTCCTCTCAGTTGGAATGCATACTACCACGATCCCACCTATAGCTGACCATTCATATGAAAATTGCAGCTGTATTTCGCCTAGATAATATACTTCATACCAAAGTGATCTACATCCCTCAAATTTTCTCTAGCTCTACCGCTTTGGGAGACCAAGGCAGCAGCGTGAAGTAGGGAGGCGGCACACCTGACCGTGATTGATCCTGGTCTAGGAGCGTTTTGCGAATTGCATTACAAACGACAGTCGTGATTGAGCCATATTATTGATGGACACGTCATCTACTATTGAAATAATATCAGCGATAATTTCTGAAATAAATAAACTTAGAGAAACACGAGTACTTAGATTAAGTCTAGGACTTAAACTTTGGTGGACAGCTAGGTTCCACTGCAAGGAGTCTTTTTCTGGATATTACCTGTTGGCAGAATCTGGTACGACGCAACTGAAGCATGACTTAGTTGACTTGGAACTACGAAAACCGTGAAATTTGGCGTTGGTTTTCTGGACATATACCTGTTGGCACAATCTGGTCCGACTTCAGCCCGACTTAGTTGACTTGGAACTACGAAAATCGTGCATTTTGGAGTTGTTTTTCTGGATATTTACCTGTTGGCACTTGGCACAATCTGGTCAAACCGTGCATTTTGACGTAGACGCTAGTGCCCATATCAGTACGTACTGATCTGAAATCTAAGGCAATACTTTTCTATATATACATGCAAGGGGTTAGCCGATGAGCAGAACGCAGAACAAAACCACATAGTTTGCACTTGCGGTGCATCATAAGAATTGATCAGCTGGCTGACCGGAGTAACTTGCAGTCTGCAGGCATGGCTACCTCCAGATTCCACATGACCTGCGCTCTCCTCCTAATTGGTAATAATCAAGAACTCCTAACCGATCTTTATGTTGAACTCTTCGTCAAGTTATATCTCAATTAAGCTAGCCTGAATTGATGTATATATCTCACCTGTGACACCGGATAGATACATGTACTATGAAACTAACTCTGAAGGAGTTGTTGAAGGTGCTGTGCTGCTCGGGCAGGAGCAGACCGGCACCGAGGCCGTCGTGTGCCCTCTCTACTGCCTGCAAGTGGACTACATGACCTGCCCGTCCTCCGGCTCCGAGAAGCTCCCGGCCAAGTGCAACTGCTGCCTGGCGCGGGCGCCCAAAGGCTGCACGCTCCATCTCTCCGACGGGACGCAGCAGACTTGCTCTTAGTTGGGATGGCCGATGATGGCGTGCTGGTTTCCTCCGCGTCCTTGTTTCACAAGTAGTACTACGTATACTGAATACTGGCTAGGAACTAGGAAGCGAAGCCATGTAACAAATAATCTCTGGACCAGCAACCTGCTTAGCTATAGCTACCAGCAGGCCAGATAGCCGGTTAACTTCTTCGGCAAATAAAGCTTGCTTTGCCCAGGGCCATCGATCCTTATGTTTTGTGACTTTGTGCAACTTATTTTGCATTGCATGCCTGGGCTGCATCGCGCGCAGTCGGAAGGCACGCTCGCACGGAGGATCTGATCGGTTACCTCTATTCAAGTTTATACAATGCAGTTTAATTTGCTCGTATTTGATTGACTGTATAAGCTTTTATGTAGGCTTGCACAGCTTAAAGGAGGCCCAATGCCATTAGACTGTCTCCAACAGAAACAACCCAAACACAGTACCCATTCAATAGTATAGGTCACCTACGATAAAAGGGTCACGTACGCGTACCCAAATCTGATCTTCTCAGACACGATACCCATTCAATCATTCATTCAAGTGAAGCAGCCAGTACTCTCCACTGTGACTCCGTAAGCTGCCTGCTTGCCCCGCTGCACTGCACACTCCCCGCACAGCCGCACCAGCTCAGCAATCATGGCTCGCCTAGGCCTACTCCTCGCTGCCGCCGCAGCGGCGTTCCTGGCCGTCCGTTCCTGGCCGTCGCGGCCGCGTCACCGGTGACCAGCGACTTCATCCGCAGGTTGCGCGACGCAGTACCCGTCGGTGTGCGAGCAGAGCCTGGAGTCGTACGGGGGCTCCCCGCCGCCGCGGAGCCCGCGGGAGCTGGCGCGCGCCGCGCTGTCGGTGAGCGCGGACCACGCGCGCGCCGCGTCCGCGTATGTGGGCCACCTGTGGAGTGGATCCGGCGCCGGCGCGAAGGGCGCGAAGAAGGGGTCTGGGTCGCGGCCGGCGGCGGCGGCGGGCCCCGTGCGCGACTGCTTGGAGAACCTGGCGGACAGCGTGGGCCACCTCCGAGACGCGGCGCAGGAGATCCAGGCCAACCTCGGCGGCGGGGCAACCTCCACCGACGGTGCGGACGCAACCTCCCCGCGCGGAGCTTCCACGTGTAGACGCACCTCGGATGCTTTTTTTTTACCTACCCACCCACCTGATACGTAAAATGGGGGCTTGGTTTGCGTCCTCCGTTGGGACCATGTTTTCGATATGCAAAACACTGTGCATGACGGATTTTGCGTTTGGGTGCCCCTCTACCTACGTTGTTGGAGACAGTCTTAGCTATAGCTTGCGTCGGATTTGATCGTATTAGATAATGCAAGTTTTCCACACAAAAAAAGATATGTTCATCTCACGTACCTTTATGAGAAACATGAGACCTTAGCTAGAATATGAAGATGACTACATGCAACAAAATATAAACAATCAAACATAATTTTATTAAATGCGGTTTGTCTATGCAGAACAACCAAACCCAAGAGAATGCATATATTTATGCTAGCTTAGGTTATGCTGCATAAGGTCTTATGTGGGCTAAAGTTAATAAAGCAACCAATCAAACTAGAGAGAACCTCGTTTGCCTCTGTACCAGTCGAGATGTTGCTGACCAGCAAATAAACCCCACTATCCACATACTACCTAGCATCATCAAACCCTACGCAACACTGTCTGCACATTGCCACTGCCTAAGGGGTTGTTTGGTTCTGACCCTGGCACAGGTGCCCGGGCGAGGTAGCTCCCCAGGCCGTTGATTTTGAGCGCCTGGTGGTCAGATGGACCTACCTGGGCGAGCACCCCCAGGTCACGCTGCGAACCAAACAGCCCCTAAGTACGTTGTCTGGAGGGCCCAACCAGCTGCAAGGACGACGACAGTCGGAGTAATCCTCCTATCCCATCCTGGCTTTGTTTCTACTCATCACTATCATCTCTTCTTGCTCCAATGACAAAATCAGTATGGTATTCGGTTGAATCCGTGTGGGTGCCTCGTGTACTACCGTGGGATTCATCTTGCTCCAGTGGTGGATCATGGATGGTGCGGTTCTTGATGGTCGACTTGGTGGTGGTGCTTCCCCTCCACCTCCATACAGTGCATTGGTTGTAGCGGCGCGGCTGGCCTCCTCTTTGTGTGGGTAGTTCCCAACGCCTTCCTCAACATGCTTGTCCCCACAGGGCTTGTCCCTGTACTGTAGTTGTCTTTGTCACAAGCACAATCCGGTGACCCAATCGTGCACGCACGACGACATGGATAGCAATAGGCACTTAGGACCTCGACGTTTGGCAATGGTGTGGTATGGAACGCCCTTCATTGTCTTTGAGCTTTGAGTGCTATGTCCCGAGTGTGTGGTGATGACGTGGTATGGGACGTGCTTTGTCGACCCTATAGGTTTTGTTGTGGTGGGTTGGTGTATGTTGGCGAAATCTATACCGGTCTTTATGTGGGTCTCGACCGTGATGTCACCTTTATTTAAGTGCCATTATCCTCCTTAGAGGCGACATTGTTGCATCTCATCCTACCCCATCATTAGGTGTTCAGGTCAAAACGTTGCCCTATTCTAGACAAGTGGCGGCTGCAACTATAGTCGTGTCCTTGTTGGAAGTGCCCCTTTGGAGGATTTTTGTGTGGCTGTCCTATTTATGCATTTATCATGATTTTCCAATTCAAAGTCTTCAATAGCTTACTCGCAAAAAAAAAAAGTCTTCAATAGCTATTGGTATCCAGCATATTCCCGATGCCTATTCAGGTGGAAGTGTGGATGCTTATGTTAGAGGTATTGGTTTGGTGGTTAGAGCTCCCAAGTAGCAGATAGAGCTGTTTCTCTTCTCCTATACTATTCAGCTCGTATACACATTATGGGACAAGCTAGCCACGAAAGGACGATTACTCAAGCTGCAATCTGAAGATTTTGAATCTCTTGCTTTAGTTTAGTTTGATGTTTTTCTTTGGTACATCAAAGTTTTTGATGTCTTAGGTCTATGTTTTATTGCTGAGACATGTGGTATCTCTTTGTAATGATTGTCAATGCATGCATCTTAATTAGAAGAAGTACGGGTACAAGAAAGTCCGTTACCTCTTGCAACAATTATCTTTCCTTGGTCAAGCCGAACCATGGACAAACTGCAACCTGCAACAGTTCGTTACCATTGCAATGACGATTCTGGTCCAAGATCCAAAAAGGTCACCATCATTATCATGTAGGCATGTAGCCACCAACAATTCAAGCCTGACTTAGTTGACTTCAAATTCGGAGAGTCAACGTAGACGTACGCTGGAGCACACAGCAGTGTTCCAAAAGAGATGGCCAGCAGCAGTTTCCTAGCTATATATATATATGAGCTCGTTCGCTGGTTGGTTTCTGGACTGATAAGCTCGACTGGTACTGGTTTATTGTGAGAGGAAAACACTATTAACTAGTTGATAAGTCCTGACTGAAACCAAACAAGCGAACATTATATAAAGGGACCAGCCGGCCGCTTGCATTGGCGAAGACACCACCATTTCACAGTTGCCGTGGTCAGATCGACTCAGCTCAAGGGTGAAGGCATGGCTGCATCCAGATTCTACGTCACATGCGCCCTCCTCCTGATCGGTAAAATCCTCAATCCTGTATCATCGAACTACTCAGATTGAAGGCATAGATAGATCAACTAATGAGCGGGGAAACCATCGAGCTGTTCATGGTTTCTACGGCTGATAAGCCGACTGATGTTGTTTTGTTGTTTTTTATTTCATTATAAAACAAGGATGCATGTGCGTGTGTGACCGCAGGTGTCGTGCTGCTGGGGCAACAGGGGCAGGAGGGGATAGAGGGCGCCGTCGCCTGCCCCCAGTACTGCCTCGAAGTGGACTACGTGACCTGCCCGTCGTCCGGCTCCGAGAAGCTCCCGACGAGGTGCAACTGCTGCCTAGCGCCCAAAGGCTGCACGCTCCATCTCTCCGACGGGACGCAGCAGACTTGCTCTTAACTGGGATGGCCGATCTGGACCAACCTGCTGCTTTGCCTGCGGGTTTTGGCAAATAAAGCTATATGGCGTCTATGGCCTGGCCGTCCGAATAATGTGCGATCGTCTATCGATTTGCACGCGCATCTATATAAAATAAAAACTAGTCCTTTTTCTTTAAAGATTGGTGTGCAGTGCATGTTATTCCCTTTGACGGCTCATTTTCGAAGGCTAGGGGGTTAATGGATGGTTAGATCTACGGAAAATGTCACATCTAATCTACCTCTTGCTTAGTTCGATTTTCCTCCTTGATTCTAAATCAGACATCTTTTTCCCCCTCAATTCTTAAAATAATTTAAATTACCGCACTATCCGGATTATCTAGATTAGAAATGTTTTTAATGTAATGACAGAAACTCTGTCATTCATCAATTAATAAATAGAGAAAAAAGTTTATATACAAGAGGCTCTAAGGCCAGGAAGACATGCTAAGTGCAACATGAAAGGATCGGGCCGACTAGGAGCTGACCAATTCGGCCCACTCTTTTTATTCTTGGGCCACGCTCCACCACTGTGGTTGACACAGTAGAACGGAACAGTTAACTCAAAAGGTATTTCTAAAAAAAAAGTTAACTCAAAAGGTTTGAATCTGAAGGAAAAAAAAAACAGCAGAAAGCTAATAGGAGCGTGTTCTGAAGTACCTCCTATATTTCTCCAAATTTTCTTTGGTTCGCTTAGCCACCTGAACGGCTGAAGAGTGTTAGTTGTCGAAAAATCTAGTGGCTGAACTGAATGGAAAGGCTACGCTCTTTCAGCAGGCTCCGCATGATGTAAATGGCCTATCCATTGAAGGTGCGCCATTGATCTTTAGGAATTGAAAGCAACGTTGTTTTCCACTAGTCCAATATATTAGATATTAAAAAAACTACTCCCTGCATTCCAAATTATAAGACGTTTTGACATTTCTAGATACATAATAGTTTTTTGTTATGTATCTAGACATAACTTATATCTAGGTGCATAGCAAAAGTTACGAATCTAGAAAAGCCAAAACGTCTTATAATTTGAAATGGAGTGAGTAGTAAATACCTAATAAGGTTTTGAAACCATAAAAAAAACTCTTTAAGCTTCTCAAAATTCCAAGAAAAATTCAAGAGATATATTGGGATATAAAACGTCTAATCTTTATTTAGACCTCGTAAAAATATCTCTAGAAGATTCTAAAAATTATATCAAACTCTAGGAAAATGAGAAAAATATCCAGGAAAATTGAAAAATTTGCAAACATTCTTAATGATGTCCAAATGCATTTTAAAAAATTTCTACAACAAAAAATATTGGATGCAACCAACAAGAATGCAAATTCATGCTAGTTGCATCTCATGATTTTATTGTAGAAAGTTTTCAAAACATGTTTTGAGATCAAGTATATATTTTTTAAGAAAGTTTCATATTTTTCTTGATATTTTTTTTATTTTTAGACTTAAATATATTTTTGGAATATTTTATATACACTTTGAGGAGTTCTAAATATTCTATTAGGGTTTTTGTTCTTGAAATCTATCTCTAGGATTTTTGTACAGTTTTAGAGGATTATAGATATTGTTCATGGTTTACTTTTTTATGTACTTATTGGATTTTTAACTAAATGAGGATGAAATCGCCTTCAAAATAACTTCTAAACGGAGTAGGGAGGTAATTTAAACGGATTTAGAAAGGACTTTTTCCTCAGATCCATCAATTATGGACATATGGGTAGTTCTGTGCAGGAATGACAAATTTCTTTGTCTTTTATTTTTTTTATTTGCAAAAATAAATGACATAGACAAGTTTTTGCAAATCTAAAGTCCTATGGCCTTCATATAAGTGGTATTTTAAAAACCTTAAGTAAATTAATGTTATGTAAATACCATTGAGGCCTACATGGCACCGCATACTACACTACTGCCATTTGAATTGGCAGTAACTAGTAAGCAGGTATCGCTAATTGAACATGTGATTTTCTTGTGCAAAACAAATTGAACATGTGATTTAAATGCAGTTGGCAGAACTAGTTGTTTTAAAAATCATTTGGTTGAAATGACTGGTTTCGTAGTCTAGTCAATTAAACTCATCAATTGGTTGTTTCTAAATAGACCCAATTGCCCTGAGTCCTTTTGCAAGGATAAAAGGTCACATAAAAATACATTTGAGCAATTTTGTTAATAAAAGGCTAAGAAATGTAAATAATACGCTTTATAAAAAAATCTAAGGTTTTATTATGTATGTTGGAAAACATGTATATGAGATAATGGATCTAAAACCATCTTAAGAAGTTTCTTAAAAATGCTTGGTAAACCAATGTTTATGCCAAGTGAATTAAAATGATTGGAGAGCTCTATTTTTTTTCATTTCTCCAATAGTTTCTAATAGTTAGATTCCTAAAACTCACAAAACGGGTAGGGGGTGCTCGAGTGGATAGCAAGCGCAGAAGGCATGCTCAATGTGGGAGTTGAGAGGGAGATTTAACAAGTGGTTATCTTTAGAGAGTTGTTTTGCAAAACTGTTGATGACCTTTTCCCCCTTTTCCTAAAACAAATTTAGGAATTGTTTTAAGGAGCTTTTGGAGGTGCTCCTCAATACCAAAATGGTAAGTGTATTTTGAACAGGAAAAAATCATATGAAATAGATTTTGTTCCTTAATGCAATATGTTGTCATTTGCTAAAGGATCAACATCATTTTAAATTCGTGCACTCTGAATACAAACTATTGATTCAAGTTTTATGTCCTAAACTTATATATAATATTATAATTTGACTCATTGCTAGTTGAAGTTCGTAATATTTGACGTTTTCCTATACGGAATATATGCTTGTCATTCTAGGACGGAGGTACATGAGTTTGCACATTATCTTGTTATTTTTAAAGTGGAAGTGAATATGTATAATCATTTTCACGTAAGGAGTAACATTTATAATATTTGCAAAATTAGAAAATAGTAGAGAATAGCCAAAAGAATCATGTTTTTTTTAGCAAAGCTAGCATTGTAACAGGAAAATTTTACTAAATAAAAGCATGTAAAAGCTATTTACTCATCATCACAAATTGGCAAGAAAAGAACATGCAGAGCATACTAGTATCTCACAAGAAAAACAATAGTATAATAATAATAATAATAAACTTCATATAGCGTCTGGAATCCGCGTTACCGCAACGATCCTGGTTACTGTTTACGTATCGGTACTCCAGTCGCTGCCCTCCACGTAGTCTGCTCCCGCAAACGATCCCCAGCTCCTCTGCCCGGCGCTGCCTACGCGGCTACGCCCGTCTCGCGGTTGGGACACGCGTTTCCTCAGGCCCACTCATACGCGCGGCACACCCCTCCTTTCCCTCGTCTATAATCTGAGTAATATGCATCGTAGGCTCTTTGACTTGTCTTAGGGTGTCACTTAGATTCATAAACTCTCAAATCGTACTTCCGGCACCCTAATATTGTTTAAGTATGCCACTTAGGTCCATAACTCATCGGAACAAGGTTTTGGGCGACGTGATGTGGACAGCGTGGCGCAAGCGCACGTGAGCTGCGCGTTTTCTTATTAAAGAAATAGACATTTCCTTCTCTCTCATCTCTTATGGCCACCATGCGCATCAGCTCTGGGCGGCGAGCGGTGGCCAGAGAGCAGGCCGAGGCCTCGGCGCACCTGGGAGGGCCCGCGGTTTGCCTCACGGTGGCGGCAGGAAGTGGGGAACGCGGCGGTAGACTTAGCAGGTCGGAGGAGGACGGGAAGAGGGAGCTCGACTCGCGCCTCCGCTCAGCAGTCAATGGCGAGCAAGGAGTCGGCGATGATTGGCTGCACTGTGCTTTGCGTTGCTCGGTTGGGGAACTTGGGAGGTAGAGTAGGTACAGATGGAGCCTTGGTGGTGAGGAATTGGAGAGTGGCACGCTGTAGAGGCGCTCGCGTGACACTGATGTCGAGTAGCGCGACGCCGGTGAAGCCATGCATGACGATGGCCCCAGGCGCAGATGCGGCGAGGTCGAGCGTGCTCAGGCGTGGCGCAACCGCCTAGGCAGGAGCATGGCACGCGCACGCGCAAGGGCACTAGCAGCAGCACCACCTGCCCGCCGCTAGGGCCGAGCTCGCCTGGCCGTGCAGTCGCTAGGGGCCCCGAGCTCGAACGCGGCCAGTGAGGGCGTGGCTGGTGAGGGCCACGACCACAAGCAGCGGGAGGCGCACATGTCGCTGCCCCGCGCTAAGCACGCGCGGGCGCCGTACGTCGACTTCCTCAAGCCCATCATCGCCGACGGCGACACGGGGTTTGGCGCCGCCACGGCCACCGTCAAGTAGAGAGCCGCCATTATCCAGGCTCGAGAGCTCTAGATCCTTTGGTTGCAACTGCATTGTGGATTTGTGGTGCCGTTGATCGAGCCGCACATGCATGTGCACGCGAGCACGGACGACGCAGGCGGCAGGCTAGCCCACGACGTGATCCGGTGATGGGGTGCGCGACATCCACCGAAGCGCGGCGCGACATGGTGTGGGTCGGCACCGACGCCCACGCGCGACGGAGCTTCTCGCTGCCCTCCGTCGACCATCAGTGTCTGCCGCAGTGGATGTAGGCCAACATGGACATGCCCGTCGCCTTAGACTTCGACCCAGAGGTACTGTCCGGATTTCGAGAGGCTCTAGAGGGCACGCCGCCGAAGACGAGACACCCAAGGAGCAGGAGCGGAAGGACAGCAAGGACGTGGACGCATGTGACATGCCAATGTCGCCGGCCACCGGCGACATGCCAGAGCTTTCCGTCCTTGTCCGTGCCCGCATCCTCGCGTTCCAAGAGAAGATCGAATGGAGACGAAGCAAGGGCCGTGACGCCAAGGTATCGCCCCTGTGGCCACCGGGAGGCGAGCAGAAGGCTGTGGTGTACTTCCTGAGCCTCCGCGGCATGCGCAAGACGTTCGTGGACTGCTGCGCCGTGCGCAGCATCCTGCGCAGCTACGGCATGCGCCTAGACGAGCGCGACGTCTCCATGCACGCCATCTTCAAGGCCGAGCTCGTAGAGCTCCTTGGGCCCGGCTTCGCAAGCGCCGCGCTCCCGCGTGTGTTCGTCGACGGCCAGTACCTCGGCGGCGCCGAGGACGTGCACTTCCTGCACGAGGCGGGCGAGCTCAGGCGCGCCCTGGAGGGGTGCGAGGCCGCGCCCTCGCGGAAGCTCGGGTACATGGAGGCGTGCGCCGCCTGCGGCGACGTCCGGTTCGTGCCATGAGAGAGAAGGAAAGGTCTATTTCTTTAATAAGAAAATGCGCGGCTCACGTGCGCTTGCGCCACGCTGTCCACGCCACGTCGGCCAAAACCTTGTTCCGATGAGTTATGGACCTAAGTAGCATATTTAAACAACATTAAGATGACAGAAGTACGATTTGAGAGTTTATTAACCTAAGTGGCACCTAACACAAGTTTAAAGGGTCTACGGTGCATATTACTCATTTTAATTGATTGATGGGCCCAAGTTTGGTCTGACCCAGTCCCAGCGTATCTTGGCGTTGCGCCTAGGAGCCATCGCCCACCCTCGGAGGCGCGCTTCTCCACGCGCCGCGCCACGACCTCGGCCCCTGCCACGCTGCATCCGTCACCTGCGCCTTATGCCTCTGTCTCCCTTCCTCACTGCCCCTTCTTCTCCGCGCGGCTGCTTCGACAGGCCCGACTACTCCTGCCGCGGCCGCACCATTGCCGTCGAGGTTGCTGCACCTGCATAGGTCTATGCCTCCCTCGCGTCCATCGATTGGTCCCCGTCTTGCTTCCTTTTCTCCATTCATCTACGCTTGCTGTCTTTTCGATCTCATGTGTTGTGCACGGCTTCCGTCGTTTTCCACTCCCAGTCCTCGCTGTCGCACGTCACGTGCTGGCTGCATGCACCAAGGATGAGGCAGGGGCAGAGCTCTGCTGATGGGGCGCCAGCAGAGGTGCCGAACGCACTGCCGAAAATGCAAGCCGTCCGGGAGTCAAAGTCCGGTGATGGGTGGCCGGCTTGCAGTCGTTGAGGATCTGGGCAACGATTCAGGTATGACCATTCTTTGCTTTTAAAAAAAATGATTTAGCCTGTGCAATAGAACACCTTGGATTTGCTACAGATTGCCTGCTAATGGATTTGAGGCTGCGAATCTTTCTGCTCTCTTCTCTCTGAAAATTTTGTTTATTCTAACTTCAGTGGTATCATTATAAAAAAAAACTTCAGTGACATTGCAAACAGTGATATAAAGCCAGTTCTGTCGAATTTATTTATTATGTTTCCAGGTCTGTTCTTATTGTACATCCGAGGAACTTTCTTCATGGTGTTTTTACTAAATCCATGCTCTGTTTCTAGGTGTAATACTAATATACTGTGTATATGTCTTTGCTGATGTCAGACTACCTATTCGTATTCTTAGCTGGCTAACAATTATGTCATACCTGTGTCCCGAAGGACCACAAATATTCATATTCTGTTTCATGTATGCAATTACTGTTTGTTTTGATTCCTCTATTTTGCAGGTTATGGATTTAATTTTCAGTGCAAAAGAGCTATTCCCTGTGCCTTCTATTGCTAAAAAGGTGAATGCTTAGCTAAAGAAATTTGTTGTCGTCGTATTCTTCATTAGCCAATTTACTCCTACCTGCCATTTATTTGTTCATCACTATCCATATTAGCTGTATAGGTGCTACATTTTTTTGATAAAATCTATGTTGCACCAATCCATGTTGGCAGCATTGTGCCATCCTGCAGATCGATCGACCATCAATGGAAACAACAAAACAATGGTGACAAATATTCCTGCTCCCATGTCACTTGCTGGGCATGGAACTTTGCAAGGAGCAGGCTATATAGAGATGACAAGCATTCCAACATTTTTTTATGTTCCTGCTCCTAGATCTTGAGATGAGCAGGCCATTTATTGGGCATTCAATGGTTAGTCTCCTTATGTTTTTAAGTTTGGAGCTTTTTTGTTATATTACTCTCAATGCTTTGTTATCCTTAATCAGTTCAGTTGGTGATTGGTTAGATGGTGACTGTCGTTGCCAATTCTTCCTGTTGCACATGTGCATGATTTTGGAACAAGTTGCCTGAGAGAGACCTTGCCAAGGAGGTGTCAGGGTTACTGGACCTCAAAACAAGACTCCCGGCCTTGGTTTCACATCCAATGCTGTTCTGTTATTGCTATATAGTGACTATAAGGAAAGGCTAATGGGTTATGTTAAAATAGAGGTTACTAACTCACATTTCTGGTTCCTGCCATAATGTAAAAATCTCATTACAAGTTGTCAACGTGTACTTATATTCTTTTGCAAAACTAATTTATTTTTCATCTTCCCTATGGGCTATGGCATTGTTTCTACATGATCTATTTCAAACTCTGCTATGCCAACATACCTCATATTTTTTGTCAGACATGTGCTGTTCAAATTAGAAATAACAAAATAGAAATGCCCTCCTTTCTTTGCATGTGATTTGCCTTATCTGAGTTGTGTGCAGAATTAATTCCGTCTTTATTAATTGGTATTCCTTTATTATATTGACATTAACCTCACAATCTTTTTTTTTTTTTTTTGCTTCCAGACATAATCAGGGACGACCAAAACATTCAAAGGGTGTCCCACGTATTTTGTTTCCCCCCTTTTATTCAGGCATTGTCCCTTGACTAATCTTCGTCTATGGTTTGCTGTAGCAATTGACATCAAAATGTGTATGCATTGCTGTAGTTTGACACCGAAGGGAGCAATGGCATGTTCCTAATGAATAATCCAATTCAAAGTTCATCCGTGATTAATCCAAACCATCATTCGAATTTACTTCAGCAAAGGAGTCTTTAGGTTTTCTACAGTACATATGGTTAGGATATCACCAGTTGATCTAACATCTTAGTTTCTCTTTATTCAGTGTTGAATATATAGGCACAACAAAGTGTGTCATCTAGGTCTGTGCTGGAGTGAAAATGTGAACAACTATTTCAGCTTGCAGCTATGGAAGTATTTTCGCTTCGTGTAAATATTTTATTTTGAACTTCGTAAGAGAGCTGCCTGTCTTTTCTTCATGCAAATATGCTTAATCCCTTACTCTGCTGAAGTGCTAAGGGTGTCTGAATTATTTTGCTGTTTGCATCACCTAGGAAGCTTGTTTTTTCGTACCAAATTTGTAAGGCATCTATTTCCAATCTTAAGGCTTGTGTGTGGTTCAGTTGTTTGATAAATCATTGCCAACTATGTTTTCAGGAGTACCGAGATTTAGAACATTGTTGGGTCCTATGATGTCAATTTCCCGACTAGGCTTAAGGGTCTTGCATACTCACATGGTGCTTCTCAGGTCTAAATTGCAATTTGTAGCTGCTTAGCTACAGCTCTATCACCTTCCATATCTTATTTCTTGATTTTTCATGTGTGTGTTATGAAACTAATGTTTTGCTTCAATCTCTCGCAGTCTAAACCTCTCTTCGCTGCCTTGATCTATTGAATGAAGCAACCAAAGAATGCCCTGGTGAATTTGCTTTAGGCAAGATCGTTCTGACTGCACTAAAGGTTAGCTGCAGTTTCCCATGCATTTGTCTGTCCTGATTTTGTAGTATATCCAAGCAAAACTCTCTCTAGGTGAGAGAATAGACATACACCGCCTTTTGTTATATTTACCCTGTCCTCACAAAGTTCGAACAAGTCCAACAATGGTATCCAGTATCTAGGTACAAGTTTAATGAGCATGCATACAGTTGTATTATTCTGCCTATTGGTTGTGGTTCCTTTTTTATTATTTTATTTATGGCCATTTATAAATGGGACGTGTGATCACGTTTTTAGAAAATCAATGTTTGTGATCTCTTGGTGTTGGCTGATAGCTCATTGTGGTGGTGAGCAGAAATGCAGAACGGGACATGTTATAGCTGCCTGCCACTTTCAACTTTCGAAGTTAAATATATTATGGACCCTCCTTTCAAAAAAAAAAATATTATGGACCCAGGAGGAGCTTATGTTGTCCATCAATCTCATGAGGTTCGATGTGATGGTATACATGTTCCCGTCTTCAACGGCTCAAGTATTTGTCATACACGTTGTATCTGCAATGCTCTATAGAATTGGAATGCCAATGAGACTCATAAGCATGTTTTGGTTGCCGATTTTCAATAGTCTTTCCTGAATGTTTTGTACAAGGAAAAGGCAAAGTAATATATTTATACTCTTGATTCACCTATTGGTATATTATTTTTTCTCAAACATTATGTAAATGGCTGGAACCCAACCTGCGCGCGCAGCGAAGCGCGCAGACCGTCCTAGTAATACTATACCAAAAGCAAACCTTGCTACAGCAGTTCTTATATATCTAATGCAAATTCTGGACAGTTGAACAATAAATCTGTAGAAATAGTGACCATTAACCATTATAGCCATACAAGTAATACTTCCAGGAAGTGTGAAATCTTGATTTTCTATCTAGAGTCGTATTAAGTGTGAAAAGTATCAAGGCACACATTAGTTGATACAAAAGATCTAGTGGGGCATTTCAAACAAAAATAAGGTAATTTAGCCACGAGACCTTTCATTTGAGTACACATGCGCCTGTGGTTCTTAATAAGCCCTCTATAAGTTCATGTTGATCTCCATGTCAGACAGAGATTTATATTTACTAGAAAGTTTTGCGCGCTTCGCGGCGCCCTACCACCCAAATTGTGAAGCACTGGTTTAACAAAGGAACCGTAGAGTCAATGGCAGCTGCAGAAAACTTTACGTCTAAGGCAAAAGACAAAAGGAGACAAAGCGCAGATCCAATCAAACATTGTACAGTATTATCCTCATCAATACATCGTAACCGCAGGAAATATTTCTGTTGTTATGTGGCATAGACATCATTGTTGAGGACTGCAGAATTTCATAGATTATTATGGGAGACATTATTAGAAAATTATATCAGCACTCAGCATTGTGGCTTTCGATCTGAGAAAAAAAAATACATCGTGACCCACATCTTTCCAGTAAAGCTTCCAAGCAGGATCAACACCTCTCTTATTGATCACCATTACATCATTCAAATGTAGGGCTCCTCTGCCTGTTCAAATCGTTCGGCTAGAACAGCGGTAGCTTCCAATAGCAACACCACCTTCACTTCCTTGTAGTCGAAAGGTACACTCTCTTGCTTCACGAGGTTGACAAAGGCATTGCCATCAACATTGTAGGTCCTCAGTGCCCTATAGCAAGGCGAAGCGTGGCCTATACTTATATAATCAAAACTCAGCCTGCACCTAACTA